CCCCCAGCTACTGTGTTGGCGGCGTCACGTCTTGCGGAGGGCAAGCAGGCATCATCTGCACGTCGATCGCGCCGGCAGATGCTGCCTGCCTGCAGCGTTCGCTTGAATGACCAGCGCGACGCCGGTCCCGAAAGGGTTACGAAAGTGTTTGACAGAGTATATTGCATGTCAGTTTGACTTTTGCAGACTTCGAAGAAGGCGAAAATGCCGAATCTCAGTCTTTGTGTTGTCACTGCAATTTCTTTTACTATGATAATCAATGAATGCTATTATCATCAAAGTCGGATCTGCTCATCAAGAAAAAAGCACTGAGCTGTAATGTCATTCAGAACAGCTGACTGTGTTCCGTTGTATATGCGATTTTGTCCAGGGTAAGTAGTTTAGGTCGAAATATAACATCATCACTTTGCAGAACTTGCACTCATATCGTTGCTGGTGCAGTCTCTATGTCGATTACTCTGTGCTAACTCGGCCGATGAATGGCGATTGTTGAGTCAACCATCTCGTCGAGTTCATGAGTTCGCTATACAAAGATTGAATGCGATCGCTCCATTATGGCCTGTAGAGTTTAAGCAGGTGAGCTAAGCGTCCATCGTTAATCGCACTTTTGAGTAGCTACTAAATGGCTGGGTTGCGACTGCATGGTTTGTCAGTCTACTCGTTGACTCTTTGGAAGTGAATCAGAAACTCAAGCAGTGGTTACTGCTAAGTATATCAGCTCTTGAACATGTGTCCGACAAGACCTTGTGTTAATTTTAGGTTTTGGAATCTCACCCATTATTGAAAAGCAGCTCGAAAGTGCGTTGTTGTTCCAGTCGAGTCGCCAGGTGCAAGTACAGCAACTCGCAAAAGCAAAAGCAGTCGCTAGTGAATCCAAGGTCGGAAAATGGCCTCTTGAGCTCTATATTTGGACATAGAAGCATGAATACTTTCACTTGTTTCTTTAGATTGTTATTTTTTTGATTATTAGTGAGGATTTGTAAGAAACTTGACTCTTACCGAGGTGCGGAAAGCGCACCAATCACAGGCACTGCACAATACACGCAGGGCATCGACTCGAGCGAAAGGAACCTCCCATCCTTTCGGAATATGCAAAGTGGTTCCAGGCTTGTTGAGGATAAAGAGAACTTTCCAGTCACGAAGCTTTGCATTTTCCCATGAAGATCTGGAAGCTCCAGGAATGCTGTCGCAGGAATCCACGTAGAATCTATACTACCACCATTTGAAACCGTATTCCATTCATCGAGAAAAAAAATTTCTTTATGTAGTAGCTGAGACGAAGGGACGTTTGAAGCATAGCGGATAAAGGTGTCCTTGCCATACTTACTCTATCAATCGGTGATTCATTATACGCTTCGGTCTCACCTAACCTTTAATCCGTCCAGGAGGAGTTCACAAATTGTCGCTATGTCTGATTGACATGTAAAAACTCATAAATAGACCTGATAATCTGAGAACATGACAACATGTTTTGAGCTTTTCATGAGGTACGATAGTGCGTTGAAGGTATGACTTCAATACATCGTTAGGCCGCTTCACGCCATTATCAATTTCAGGTATTTCTGTAGACGCCCAAAAATTATAGATTTAATGTTCATGGAAATAATTAAAGTTGATGTGGTCAGTCCTTAATAATAAACTTTTTAGGATGTTCATTTGAATTCGCAACCAACGATAAAACTTACCATGGATTTCAACTCATTTACAAAAGCCGCTTCGTAATAACACTACTTCACTAATATCACTACTAAATCATTGTTCATCTTTCCAGGCATATTTTCCTACTAATGACGCTTTACTCTTTGGCTTTAAATATATTTGTCGTTTAGTAGGCTCACTTTTTGTTGAGTTAGAAGGGGCTATTGAAGTATCGTATAGAAAGTGATCTGATCGAAGGTGTACTTTTCTCGTAATGTATTGTGAAGCTAGGCGGCCATAAGCGTAGTGTAGATTCGCTAGAAAACGAGGTTATTGTCACATTTGTCCATAGCATGCTGTTTATGTGGTATCATATTTAAGTAATGTAAATAAGTTCATTACAATTAAGTATAATTTGACGACCGCAGAGTTGTAATTTTTCTCGGGACTTTTGAGTCTTTACTGCTAACGCTGCATCGTGTGTCGAAGTCTCTATTTGTTATGCTAACGTACAGTCTGATTGGTGAATAGCTTCCTATTTTGAAAACTTATAATTTTCAACGACAATTCAGATAAAAACAAATTTGAGAAATAGCGTATAGCATGAAGTTCCAATTAAATCTGATATCCAGTCAGCTTCTCAAGTCGCCTGACAATCGAGTCAAGTGATTTCATCAGAAACTTGGGTGAAATAGAGGACATGACCGTTTTTCGAATTCTCACAAAGTCGCTAGTCTGATGGAGTATAGTTTACTACTTTGATCATTAGGAGAACGAGAGTGTGAGGTCAGGGTTTCTGGTTGGCTACTTAGGCGAGACTACGACGACCCATCATTTCCATGGGACCTTGCTTTATAGTTCACGAGCAACAATAGTGAAATGCGTATGGCCTATTTACTGATTTTTGATTGGATTTGAATAAGATTTGCATTTGAGTAATCATTTTGAATAAGATGCGCTTTCGGAGGGTCACCAAAATGGAAAGAATAGACGGTTCTTTGAGAACCTGGCCACAGCTCCTGTAACAATATGCTTTGCATCACATTTTTGATCGCCTTTGCATCAATCTGAACATGTCTTTTATCAATGGTTTTCCACCATCTATCTTTTGGAACAATATATCTAACATCGCAACGTTCCACTAAGTGGGTACGCTCTTGCAGGGTAAAACACAAAGGCATAAATCTGAGGCTTCCGAAATTTGAACAAATTGCTTGATCTGGAACCAAGTAAGCGTAGACTTATTTCCCATACATCAGAGCTCATGCACAAATATTTGACAGGCTTAAAGCAATATAAAATGAATCAATTTCAAAATTGGGAGTTACTTTTCAATCATCCTGTAGGTTAGAAGCAGATGGTGATGCGCAAAATATGTATGCCACACGTCGTAAAGATTTAGAAAGAAAAAAAAAACTTTTACTCTCACAAAATTTCTAGCGCAGCTATTTCTTTCCCATGTACAGTCCTTATTCTAGTCCTTTTCTTTTACGACTGACAGTTTTGTCGCTTGTTTGATTGTAGTTGTTTGAAAGATACAGATACTTCCAGAGCTTATTTTTTCACACAACATTGATTGAATAAATATCGCAATCGTACAGTTTTATCTAATAACAATAAAATTCTACAATTCAGTCGTTTCACATTTCTCTCACGATTTTTACAACCAAACGTACCTACAACTACTAATCTTTGCAATCTTATGAACAACTTGGTGTTTTTACAATCTACGACTCTGCAGAGGAGCGGGTAGAACAATGGTGGTGATGCCGCTTATCACGGGCAGAGTGTCGACAGGACCTTGCTCCGCATTTGTGGCCTCTCGTCTTTCCGGGATCGGAGAATTGATGCCAGACTTATTTCGGATTACTTCATACTCCCCAGTCCAAGTGTAGAAACTCTAGCCTGGCTGTCACGTGAGGGAGAATGAGTTCAAACATCTTCAGCGATATTCATAAACTAACGACAACCTTAATCAGAAGTGGAGTTCGCATTCAAAGTATGCGAAGATCTTGGATGATGATGCTAGGAAACGAAACGAATGCGGGAAGCGCTGGGATACGAACAGTGGATATGAAGGCTTCTTGTTTGAAACAGAAATTTGCAAATATTCTTGCATACCATTCGTTTCGAGTATTTTGCATATGTTGCCCAGAGGAAACTGCCACAACGACTTCTACGATTTTAAGATTTTCCACTCATTCAATATCTGAGATTCCGAAAAAAACTTAAGAAGATAGTTCTTCCTAAGTCTTTCAAATTTTTCAGTGATAATGTGTGTCACTTATCGAGAAATCAGTATATTTAATCATGTCTTAGGCATGTAAAAGTCTAATTTCGTTAGTAATTGGTTGTTATAGAACTAACCATGAGATTACATATTGATGAACGTAGAGGATACCTGAGAATAAGTTAAACCGAAACTCTTGATAAATTTTGCACAAAAAGAAAGATTTGAAACGGAAGGTAAAGCTGAAAGTGGGTAAAAAAGGAGAATTCTAGAAGGTAAAGCAAGGTAAGAGGTGGACAAAATTGTTAAGCATGCTATTATATAGATCATCCGTCATGAATGATACCAAGTCATAGCGAATGAGGGGTAAAATTATACATCGAATAATATTTGATAACAACAAAAGATCAGCCTACAGAATCTATGCCCGTCTTTGGGACTGAATCTATGGCCTTTGCTTTCTCACGCTATATTCTTTATTCGTGTTTCAACTGCAGCAGAAGTTTAGGTAAGTGTGGGCACTTCTACGGACAGTAGTGTTGGGAAATCCTTTAAAAGCTAATTTCGTGTCTGTGAGTGAGTAAAACTGCCTTTGTCTCACAATGTCTCTTTACACTACTGTGATTTTTGTAATGCTAAAGCCTAATCAAGCGGCTATATAGGTGAGATGGATGACTTTGCGCATTCATAGAACCCGGGTAACATCTATGACGACGCACTGATGTTGAAACTACTATAATGTGTTACGAAGGTTGAAAACCCAAATATCACAATGGATTCCACTGGGGTGGCCAGAAATCCGCCGATGAGAACTCATATGAATGGGCACCCGGGCGAAGATAGCTGAAATGGATGATAAACTAGTGTCTAACGGCTTACGAAGTAGTGGTCGGTTTTGCATTTACATTTTGATATTTATACAAATACAAACAAATAAATTTTATATATATATATATATGCAGGAAAAGTTCAGTCAGTTTTGAGTTTCGTTTACTTCAGTATCGATATAATTTTTTCTCACTAATTATGCCAATTTTGTTGAATTCTTTGTTCAGTTTTGGTTTAGCACCTGTTTTGCTTGCTTATCTATTTTCATATATTCCTAAGAAAATTGAGTGGTGAGCAAAAACACGGCCTCGGGCGGGAATCGAACCCGCATGTCATTTGCCAGGGACGCGTGCTCTACCACTACACCACCACTCTTAGGAATGTATGATCGATCATAACACTGCGAAAAATGCAGTAAAACACTAGAAATTTCGAATATCTATTTACAGTGCTAAAATTATCGATCGTAAGAATGAACGCTTCGCAGTAGTTGAGCTGCACAAGACGAAAATGAAGACGACCGACATTGCTAAAATTGACTGGTTCCAAACCACCAAGTGTCTACAGAGCCATGAAACGTTTCAAAAGATAGTGGAGGAATTGAAGCCTATTCTCAAAAAGGTCGTTCAAACCATCTTGTTTACTCCGGGAAACAGTTGGAAGATCCACTCGCCAAATTCAACGATGTCCGAAACGTTCGATGCGCAAAATGGCTCCTCTTCAAAAGGAACTCCAGATAAATCGTAAGGTTCTGATACTACAAGATTTCCTCTACACGTTCATATGCTTTTCGCGCTTCCAGCAAAGTAATAGTGAAAACGCGCGGATGGTGTAAAATATAATGTTATCTTGGATTTTATAGCGTTATTAAAGGGCCTTCTCAAAAAACCGGCAACATATTGCACTAGTAAGAAATTTAATTTTTCGAAATGAGTATTAAAATTCTTTTGAAGATTTCTTGCCTAACGAAATGGGTCGTTTCTTCATTTGTTTCTGGATAACCGAAAAGAACCGTTCCTTTAAGAGGCTACGTAAAATATCGCAATTGTCGAAATTCAGGCGATCAAGTGACTACTAGAAGTCTAGGGTAAAAACTTTCTATCAAAGAAAGCTTGGTCCTAAAAGGGTTTTTATGGCTGGATGTCGATGGCTTGGCATCGCATCCCTATGCAAATCATTTTTAAGTACTATCCATTGTTTTCTGATTTTCAATCTCTATGATAACTTTTGAGTATTGCACATATTAAAATATATCATAACTAATAAATTTATATCATAATAACTTTGATCAACTTGTTACAGTTGACAGGATGCCAACAAAGTACGTCGCGTGGTGCAAGGGAGCTTCTCAAGCACACATAAAAGTTAGATTTGCATCAAAGCATGCTGACGCGTAGAGGAAATCGTGAAGTTTTGAAGTGTTGCAAGAAACCTTGAATTAGTTCTAAAATGGAGATAAAAAGCATAGTTAAGTAACAAAAATGTCGCGTTGGTTGGGAACTACACTGCGCACGACAACTTCTACTGTGGCCCCGAAAGGGTTAACGGAATTTGGGCGTTAGTACGGTTGCAGGAAAGGACGACTAGCAAGTGGTTTGCGGTGCTCAAAGCTGAAGGAAACAGTCTGGAGGATCAGTCGCACTCTGGTCGCCCACAGGAATGTCCATTAATCTTGCGCGCCGCTTCACTAGCATTTTCCCCCACGCGCCATTCTTGCATGAGTAGCAAGTAAATTTGCTCTCAAGACGGCTCCATCTCAAGGCAAGTATAAACAAATTGTATAGCAATTTATTTGGAAGAAAATGCTCAATTAATTAGTGTTGTTAAGCAATTTTAATTGATTGTGGCTAATAATTTTGGTATTTATTGCTCTGGTACCAAAACTTATGAGATGATCCAATATTGTTGGCAAGCATATAGATCGTTCAGCTAGACCAAACGAGTAACACTGTTCCTAGTACAGCAGAAGGCCACCGAAAATCGAGCGTAACAAATTTCTGTAGGTAACTGTTATTATCAAAGTGAACATTCAAAAAATTTTTACTTCGCTTAGTATATGATGACCATCATAAATCGTCAACGTGTGGTTACTACCAAGTGGCATTTCTATGCCATTAGTCGTAGACGAAATATAGGTTAGAAATAGTCGATTTTTATGATATTTCAATATCAGTAATAAGTTATTTTTCACTCTTATTTTTTATTACAATCTTTGGGTTGTCACTTACTTTTTATTATAATATACTTGTTGTCCTCTGCTCAGGAATCCCAGCCACCATCCATATGTTGATGTAGGTGCTAAAGTTAGAAAATAGCAAAAATTGAATGAACCAGAAGGAAGAAGGAAATATGCGAATCTCAGCTGATGGAAAATAGACAATTTCATTGAAACAACGAAGTAGCTACCCGATATAATTGGAACTTAGTGACTGAATTATCAAGGTTGTGGTAGCAAAAACACTCAGAGTGGACTCCACTCTATCCTGGTTGATACTAGATGCCAACTCATGGAAGCATCCGCACATTTGCGACCGTGTAGATACCATAATTCATGAAAACGATGATTTTCCTTTTTGGTCATTAGAGTCTCTTAGGCTATTGTAAGGCACTTTTACCAGTTTGTGGATCTATAGATAGAATGACGACCTCGAGAAATCAGTTCACTTTTTTAACTTGATAACTGATTACTTGATCAATACTGATTTCAAAACGAAAGCGGACCACGTATGGCTAGTTGATTGTCAATGTGTAAATATTAGTGGATACTAGTAGTTTCAGGACATAATTTGAGTTACACACCAGAAGTTTCTTCGTCACAAGGTACTTAGTGTTCCTACGTTTTCGAAGTTGGAATAAGTTTTAAAGAGTTTTAGAGGCATCCGAACTCTGAAGTGCTAATCACCTTTTTTTCAAACAGTACCAAGTCGGGTAACAAAGATTGGCTTTTAATCACCATCATGTGCGCTCGAATTCGTTCATAATTTTATTTAATTTTGTGTTTTATTTGTTCATGATTGAGATAAAGTCTTTCCACAGATAATGCACTGAGAACGCGTGAAGATTACTCAGCGTTGATTATTGTCACGGAAACATAAGTAAAAGTCGTCATTCTCTCAAGATTAGAAGCGCACGCTGTAGAGATGTCAAGGATAGTAAAAAAGTGACTGAAATCAAAGGGTAGTAAAGCAAATGCTATTCTAGTCTGTTCAAATCTGGAATTAAGTACAACGTCAATGGCGAAGTCGAGACGAGAAAACATCGCTTGTCGAACTTCGTTCGTAATATCGAGAATGGAATCGTCAATACGTTATGGCCATGCATTGATTCCTTTGAAAAATTACCAACATTGTTGGAATGTATATAAATGCGACTATGACTAGATGCCGAATCATGAAATAATTGTCGTGACGATGCCTTATCAAATGATGGAGGAGACGACATAAGGAAGATCAATACGTGGACATGAAGAAGTTTCATAGAGAAGGTCACATTGACTACAGGATGATTATTTGCGACTTCAATAGCTTAATTGCATATAGGAAGAGCTCTATAAAATGTCACAACAAGATGCAGACCGGAATAAAACGAACAGGATGATGAGGGAAAGTTATCATATCGCAACTTATTCATATTGACTATATGTGGCTACTCCAAATCCGAAAAACCCTTCTTTCTAGATACATGTTAGTCTTCCAATGGCGCATGACGAAATGCAACGCATGACAGTAAATCGACCGTGCTGTCTAACCGATGTGGTTGCTCTTTCAATATTCTGCACGATCTTATAGACAATTGTCTTTGCACAGGATTTTTTCCTGAAGGAGCAGTAATCTTTAGGATTGATACATTTATAAGCCGAAACAACTGAAACGTGATACTTCTTGACCTTAATTGGCCGACTCTTTGGATGATAGAGTTGTTGGCACCACCGACGGGGAATACTCGTGATTGTTTGCAAGTGAAATCGTGTATCTAATTTGGTCTTACTTTCCAAATATACAATTCACTCCAATCAAGATTCAAAACAGCAATTGCCACATCTATTCCACTTTGACGTGCATAATCCAAAATTTATTCTTTTCAAGAACTTCAGATCCATTACACTGCTCTTGATTTATTCAAACATATCTGATATTATTATTCATCTGGTGAAGGATAAAGGATAAAGCTTTCAGCGTTGATCAATACCTGAGAAATGCATTTGCCTTCAATTTTTGACTTCGTTTGGAGTGATTGAATGCATATCTGGCCTCTACAATGACTTGCGGTAGCCTCTCGCTGTACAGAGTCAGTGCTGCTTATCCTCCCAGACAAGTCTAATATCGGTCTGGTGCCAATTCACCGACCCCGGAGGGATGGATGGCTTTGTAAGCAATGAGCGCGGGATCGAACCACTGACCTCGTGTGCGACGCGGAGCACCTCTAACCAACTGCACCACATGCATCTGGTAATGACGAAAATGGTGAAACCTTCCTTGCTACGCAAAAGATAAAGCGTTGGAACGAGACGTTTACTGAATTTTGTTGAATAACCAGGAATTAAAATGGTGACCGAGACTGCGCCTCACAGTACCTACAAGGCAAAGCACTCCATTTGCCACTTACCTTGAACGCTTCTAGCAATAGTCATATTTTTATTCTTTTTTTGCCACAAATTCTTTACCATTATAATCTAGTCAATAGGTATAACGGTTTTCTCACATAGTGACAGGTGTAATTGAAACTTTACCTGTCAGAAGCAACCAGTCACAATACAGTCGACTGAATTCCCATTCGGCGTTTGGTGGATAGTGAGGATGGGAAGCCGCTAATTGCAGTGACAGATTGCTCCTATTGAGCAAGTTTGTCTCGATAATGTTCGTTCTTGTCCATTCGGTGTTGTCGGTAAATATATAAATACGAGGAGTTCCACTGTGTCCAGATTGCGTTGCTGAAAGACGGCATTTTAAACTAGACTTTAACATTTAAATTTTGGCTGCTTTCCCTATTATATTATCTGTAACCAATATAGAATGAACTAATGCTTAGGAATATTTAACAAAAAATATGCTTTAAATTGGGGCGACAGACTTCGAGACGTTCACTTTCACTCGCACATTATAAAATGATGACCAAATTCTTTTCTGGGTCACCGAACATAATGTAGGCTATAAATAGATGTGTTACTCACAATGGGCGGTGTTTTACTTTCTTGAAGCATCGCAATCGCTATCTATTTGACAAGCAGGCTTTTCAGCTTTACCTCACCTTTCTTAACTAAAAATTGTATGGCAGTGATTGTGAATTGAGCATTTGATGGCAGATGCATGGTAGAATTGGTGAAATCACCTCGTCGGATATGGACACATATACTAGAAATTAATACGCATGAG